ATATTCATGTATTCTAAGGGCAAGCTTTTTGTGGTCAGTATCAGTAACATCTTCATCTGTGAGTATGCAGAATTCATTCTGTTTAAGGATTTTAGAATTTTTGTTTTGGTAGGTTAGTGTCTGCAGTTCTAACACATGAGATCGTTTGAATTGCACAATACATCAGTTGAGAAAATACTACATCTTCCTCTGCTAAAAAGAAAATTTCCCAGCTAAATGGTAAGTAGCACAGGTTTCTTGTTCACCAGAAGCTCATTTTATTTTTTTTTTTCTGTATTTTATGTTGTATTATTTCTTCCAGTTTAGCTTTTGCAGCTGTAGAAACATAAACCTTTGCTTTTGTTTTTGCCCTATATATTCAAAAATGTAAATGACTTCAAGGTTGAAAGTTACAGCTGGGGAAAAAAAGAAAAAAAAAATCAGAGACCAGGTATTAGGAGAGGCAAAGGATAATGTTGCAAATCTCAGTTTATCCTTGCAGAATGCTTGTCCTTCTGTAGTATGTATCCTGGCTTTCCACTTCTGCTGACATATCCAAATTCCTTGAGAGCCTTTCTCTGTCATAGCTAATTTCACCCCACTGCTTTCTCCATGAGTGGTGATGGAAAAAAATAAAGGCAGCAAAGTTATTGCTACAGAGAGCAGCTGAGATTTCCACTAGAAAAATCTGTCAAACTGAAAAAAATGTCATTGAGGACTGCTTCCCACAGCCATGTGCAGTAAGAGCTTCCAAAAGTGGGGCAGTGAAGAAGTTTGGTTACAAGTACCAGGCTGAGGGTACATTTCTCTCACTTCCTGCAATTGGAGAACAGAGGTTATTTTTGCCTGCTTAGGCCACCCAGAGAATATTCAAGGTGAAGGCATGTTTCCTATGTCTGCTACATATCACATAACTTGCACCCAGTAAAAAAGACCTAACTGACTGAGCTTGAAAGTTGATTATCACTTTATCACAGGGGTGCCACATGCAACCTTCAGCCCTCAGATCTTGCCATATATTTCCTCAGCTGCACCAGTGGCATGCTTCTTTCTCTGGTCCCTTGCTGGATCCAAATGGTGACAGCTCAGCTGCTGAAGCAGCAATAAACAGAAGATGCAGACCATGAGAAAATATAGAAGAAGACTATGATATAGCTTGCATTTGCTCCAGGACTCCAAAGACATCCCTCACAAAGATACTTTCCCAAGCAACCTCAACAGCTATATATCATCAAACTACAAAGCACCATCGGTGACAGAAAAAGAAATAATCACACATCATCACCAGCATAATTATGCAATTAAAATCTCAGTGTAGGCACAAATGGACTGTTCTTTGTTAGCTTAACAGCAGTTGGAGGAGATTCTGTGCAGGAGGTTCTATGTTGGGCATCTGCAGCAGGGCGCTCTGCCAGAATAGCTGTGTCTGCTGGCCAGGCACCCTCCCTACAGGGAAGCATGGTTCATAAAAAAGCAGCAAGGAGCCAGGCATGTGCACAGCCTTGCCTTCTGCTGAGTGCCCTCACTTCTGCTGAGATACCCCTACTGCCACTCAGAGGTGATAATCTACCACTGAGTCTCAAATGGAGAGCAGAAAGTTTTGCAAAATGAAACACACAAGATCTGGAATGGGCTAAATTTAGATTTGTTCATTTGACCCTATTTCTACATTCATGAACAAGCTTGTTCCTGCATCAGTCCTGCAGTATGTTGCTCCTTTCCCTGGGCCCTTGCAGTAGCATACTTGCAGGTAGATTTTGCACCCTGGTGCAGGTCAAGGGAAGAGGAAAGGAGAGAAAATAAAATAAAGCGATTGTTGACAGACCTATCATCAGAGCTGTTTTCATTAATCAGAAAGCAAGTGCTGGTATCTCTGGACTCCTGCTGTAATTTCTGGTAATACAATACTAACTAGCTGCATTCCTGTAAGACCCACCCCTTCTTTGTCCCACTACCTCTTTACTTAGATGTGACTTGATAATATGTGGTGACACATCAGTAAGAGAATTCCTCTATTTTCCTCCACCATGCTACTGTGCTATTCACTCTATACCATCTACACAAATCTTCAAGAAGGCAAATGTGCCAAACACAATTAAGTGCTGGATAAGGTTCATAAACCACACTTTCCTGTGCATTCTGAGTCCCTGTCTGATTTTCAGTGCAACATCCAAGAAGTGTATAAATATAAAATGTTAGTAAATAAAAAGCCCGGGACCTGTCTTTCTCCCCACCACCCCATCCCACTGCTAACCAACACAGATGTGTCTCCACTGCACCCCAAAATGGTGAGCAGAACAGACTCAGTATGAGCAGAGCCCAAAACCAAATAGGTTGTCTTCAAAAAAGAGAGTAGAAAATAAAGTGCAGAGAGCACTGACCTCATTTCTTTGCTATGAGCATTTTCCAGTTGGCAGTAGGCCAGGGGCAGGAGGAGGCATGGCTGGAACAAACCCTGCTGCAACAAACCTGGCAGGGTTTTGGCAGCAGAAAGCACAAACTACGTAGTGTTCTCAGATAACATGAACCAAACACACAGATGCTTACCTTATACCTTCCCACCAGTTAATTTATTTCAGGTTGGGTAGGAGTAGTGCAAGAAGGTGTGAAGGCAGGGAGCTGAAATTACAAAGAGTATTATATTCCCTTTGCAAATCCAGGTACACTCCAGGTGACCTGAACTACTCAGAACATCCTGCAGCACCTTCCCTGTTTCCCCACATAGTCCTACCAGGCTGAGCTTGCTAGCACAAGTGTGACTGGGCGCATGCTGGAGGCAGGATGACACATGCCAAAACACAAACAGAAAAAAAAAAAAAAAAAAAAAAAAGTAATGATAAATAAATAAACAAATAATAATTAAAAAAAAAAAAAAAAAGAGAATTTACAGACTTTTGATTTTTTTTTTTTTTCATCCTATTACTGAAGCTGATCATAAAAATTGAGACAAATCACAATGCATGGCACCTATGGTCTAAATGTAGGCCAAGCTCCTGGCAGCACTCTGACAGGGGAGATGTAATTTACCTTCTTTGCCTCCTTGCATTAGTCCTAATCCCAGTATACTGAAGAGTCTGGCCCAAGTCAGACAGCCCAGCCTAGAGAAGCTCAACAGAAATCTGTCCTGGTGAGTCCTGGCAAGATGTCACACAAGGCCAGATTGCAGATAAGGAGACACCCATTCCCTGTTGCTTTCAGTGTGATAAAAGGAACTAAACTCCCCTAAGAAACTGGTCTGTCATGCCTGAATGCTGTACAAGGCAGCTTTCACTTCTGGTGCTTAACTGGAAAGGAAACAGTTTCCTAAAACCTTTCCCTGTTAAAAACTCTAATTTCTTGCAGCTAGGATGTGAACCTGCCACCCTGCAAACATTAGAAGTAGCTGTCCACTGGATTGCTATACTATAAATATACAAATATATGCAAATATATTAGTGTACTATTAATATTTATTAATACGATAAACATTTCCTCTATATATTAAAATCCCAACATAAAGAACCAATTTCTGCTGTTTAGAGATCAACACTACACAAAGTTGATGGGGTGAGAACAGAATAGGGTCAGAGTGCTCTTGTGTGCTACAGCTGTGAGTATACAATTTTCCCTCCTTTCCTCACCATTTTCCCCTAGCAAAGCCATATGACCATTGTTCATTGCTGTGGGTGTGCTTTGTGGAAGGATTCTCAGGTTTTGCTTAAATTCGTTGATTCTTCATTATTTTCATACAGTGATTGCCAAACATTTTGACGTAGTGAATATAGTTTTACAATGAAGTTTAGCAGGGTACCACTGTAGTTCATTATAGGGAGGTTACATTTGTAATTATTTATAATGTCAATGCCATCAACAGCTTTTGCAATGTTTTCCTGGGAAGATCTCAACACATTCTACAATGCAATGCAGTAGCATATCCATACTTTCAAATCTGGGGCAGTTTAAAGAGTATTTACTAGACCCCAATAGTATCAACACTGACATATAAATACTGCCAACACATTCAATAACTACAGTGTGGTGCCACTGAAATGTAATACTCAGAGAAGAGATTTCCATGCTTTAGCTTCACTGTTTCTGCAAGCAACGTCCCTCTCTCATTTTAAAACCAAAGCTCATGCCAAGAAACTGCTGGAGTTTTGTTTTTTTTTCTTTTTTCTTTTTTTTTTTTTTTCCTAAGTTTCCTCCCAGTCAAGCTTTTAAAAATGCCCCTCTGGTCCTTTTCTCAGGCAGAGTTGGTGCAGCCATTTTCCACCTTTGGGGCATGCTAATTCCCACACCAGTTTCTTCATGGAAAACAAAACAAAACAAAACAAACAACAACAACAACAACAAAACAACAAAACACAACAACATTTTGAAGCAGGCAAGGCAGTCGCTTGCTTCCCTCTCTTTCCCTGCAGCCACTAAATAAACAGAAGAAAAAATTGGGAGAGGGAGAGGGACTGCATCCTAAGCACAAGGGACCCTCTTCTCTGCTTTCAGCAAAAAAAAAGTAAGGTTGGGCTTTTTCTCAGCCACCCTTTTATAACCTCTGACTTTCCATGCAAGAAATTGTTCTTTCCAATCTCTCTGTTATCTTTTAAACACACTAATATTACCGTGTTGGGCTTTCAAGTTGAAAAAGTCATACAGCTTTCCTATCCAGCAAACCTTTTAATAAATTTGCTTAGGGGCTGCTGCTTTGCCCAAAACAAAGGCTTGCAAAGCACAGCCAGGATTGGAAAGGACAGAAGAAAGGGAATGGGGAGAGGAAGAGCAAAAGAAGAAAACGTATTGAGGAAAGATGGAGCTGGGAGCTCAGGAGGCAGATTTAGAAGGGCTGTGTTTCCCTATACTCTCCCACCCCCTGCCTGCTGTCCATTGTTCCCTGTCCGCTCTCTCCAGGGAGTTGGTACTTAAGAGCTCCTTACGCCAGAGGTTGGACTCAATGATCTTGAGGTCTCTTCCAACCTAGACAAATCTGTGATTCTGTGATTAAGTGTGCTGTGCGCAGAAACACGCAGAACAAAAGAGACTGGGACTGTGTAGACGAAATTATTTAATAGCTTATTTTAAATAACATGACGATGTCAACATGTGAACAATTTACACCTGTGGCACAGAATATCCTGTTGTTCTGCTATATGTCCTGTGCATACGTGTGGAAAAAGAAACAAATACTGTCCCATCGTGAGCTTCAGTATATAATCAAGGTTTAGACTTTCTTTTTTAAGAAACAGTTTGACATTGAAACAGAGCAATGATATATAAACAAAACAAGTTTTAAATAAGTTCCTAACCATGTTCTCTACTGAAAGCTATTTTTTAAAAATCACTTTTACATCTATAAATATATAGTACAAAAATGCAAGTTTACAAGCCATTTTTCCCAAAAAGATTTATGCCACTTGAAGTTTTAAGTAGCAACATTTCTCCAACATGACACATGCATTTAAGAGCAATAATATTAAGTATTTACACATAAAGTTATGAAGTGTTTGGGAATATAAATTAGTAACAAGACACTGACAAAAATACACTCACTATAAAATAAATAATTCAACGGCTTTACATATGAGGGTATCTATAATATTATACAAACATAATATACAAGACTGTAGGACTTGATCTTGCAGTTGCTCATATCTGTCACTTGAGCATCAGAGTAATGCCAGCACAGTAAAAAAGCTGCTTTATGTGGCTACCTGTATGCTGAAAATCAGGTGCCCATAATTAGCTTACTGGAATGGATCCTGACTGAAACGGTTCCTGATGAGAACAAGCTCCACAGAAAACCTGGTGTGAATGAACATGTGTAGTTTTATTCTTGTGAGCTGAGATATTGTTGGCATTCAGGGTCTCCTTTCACTTCTGGAGATCCAGGAATTTTTCTTCCAGTTTTTGGATAGACACACCAGCACCCAGCAGACTCTCCATCTAGTGAAGTCTCACACTAGGATTATTAGGAAAAAAAAAGAATAAGTAATTGAGAAAACTCACTATGGGATGCTACAAGTAGAGCTGTAGAACTAGGACTGGAAACTCAGGAAATGCCACACATGGACTCGTTCTGAATGTAGTAATCCTTGCTCTGACATAGCCCCTAACCAGAATTGGTTGGGGAGCTTTGATCCAAGCTCAGCTACCATAAGAGCAACAACAAATGTAAAACAGTTTGCCCAATTCTTGATAAACAATAGTATAAAACAGCCATATCTTCAGTAAGAAACTGAAGGAAAGCAGAATATACAAGCTAGAGAGATGAAAGCAATGGCTTGATGGCCTGACGCTTCATGCACAGAAGGAAATAGGATTCTTTCTTGGGATAGGGGGGAGTTAGATTTCTGTTCATGCCTGGTTAGATCCCAGGTCACAGTGAGTCACATGTTCATGCCATGCTCTAAAACAAGGAGTCTCAGTGACACAGATTTATGCAGACCTACTAAATTTGTGTGCATGACCTGTGGTTATTTTTTGTACTTTTAGAAGGCTAATGTTGCTCCAGAGAGTTTTGTCACTGCAAATGTATTTTACTGTGAGAGCTGAGAACCTCCTATTTCCATAGTGATTTTTACATATACAATGAACAATGCAGGCAATGTGGTGGATATTATGCATTAACATTGACAGTGAATATGCTAACAAATTAGTTACATGAAGCTTGACTTGGCCTGGGAACAGACAGAGTTAAAAGATCTTAGAGAAGGCTTTGCATACACCTGTTCTGTGAATGGAGAAGACTCCTGCCTCCATTTTTATCAGCCCAGAGCATGCGGCTCACTTTTAAGAGAAAGACAAACCATCTGTTCCTACTACAAAGTATCCCTGTTTTCACGACATTTTCCAGCAGCTGCAAACTTGTGAGCTGGAGAGCAGAGGGCTATGAAAGGGCTATGTCAGACTACACGCAGCACTGCTGTGAGCAGACAGGAAAAAAGCACGTACCTGTTTACTGTGGTAAAATCCATTCTTGTTGCAGTTGGGCAAATAGAATTTGTAAATGTCCCCTTCTCTTCTCTGCTGAGCCTTTGCCAATTTATACAGGGCTCTGTAGAGCTCCTTCTGACAAGGTCCCTGCAGGAATATCATTTAAAAATTGTCAGTACTGAAATCACAAAGAATCCAACCAAAAAAAAAATTGTGATCGGTATAGAAGTAGAAAAAAATTGAAAATAATTATTAGTCATACAGTCTGCACTAGGCTGCTTTGCATGTAGTTTCTACATGTTTCAATAGGAGCACAGCCAGAAAACCCTGATGTTCCATTTAGGCCTTTGTTTTTATTCTTTGAAGTATTTTCTGTCCTCAGAAACATGAGGATTTAAGTCCTTAAATTGCCACACAAGGAAATTTAACCTGTACTGAGTAAACACATTACTGCTCAGAGGGTACAATATCTCCTATTATGGGGAGGTGCATGTCAGGAGGCTGGTGTACGTGAGGCTGGCCACGTTTTCTGGGTTGCCATGGTCTGGGTTGTTCTGTTGATGTATGGAGAATAGGTGCAAGACATATATAGACAGTACAAGAGCAAACATCTGAACGTTTGTTATCTTTTGTACAGGACATGGCCGTCACCAAAGCAGAGTGTAGAGCACTTGCTGTGGCTCCAAGACCCAGACTCAAAGTACCAGGAACTGGGAGTGAAAAACTGTTTGCCTGTCTCTCTTTTCCAGCTTTTTGAAGTCACAACTACTACTTCATTAATAGTGCCTAATATGTTAAAAGGAATGAAAGGGGAGGAGAAGTGACTGAACAAATATTTTTATTGGGAGCGAAAATAATCTCTTCTTCACATAAGCAGTACTATTCAAGTCAACGGGTTTATCTGTAGTTCTAGGTCAGAAAAGCAGAAGCCTAAAAATCAGAATTGGATCTAACAGCACTTAAGCATAGTCCAAACTAAATCAGTGCTTAAATTCTGCTCTGGGTGTGAAGTGAGGCTTCCCACATTTCTGGGATGGGAAGTGGGGGCTATGTATTTGTTGTTGTTTGGCTGGTGTTTTTTTGTTTTGTTTTGTTTTGTTTTTTTGGGGGGGAGGGTAGCTGAGGGGTGCGTGAGGGCTAGAGAGAGAGAGCATTATGAAAGTGGGCTTTCCGTTGTGCACAATCCTAATTCAACTTCATGCCGCCGGGGCGCGGGTTTACACCGGCTGCCTGAGACTACTCTAACTGTGGTTCTTTGGTGCCCTCAAGTGGCACCAGAACCTACTTGCTCACATCCCACATGCCCACCAACCACTGCAATTTTGCAGTGCTGAAGGTAAAAGTGAAGTTTAATTGCTGAGCTTTCTGTCTTTTTATGTGCACCTACTTGCTAGTGTTTCCTTGTGAAATTAATAAATGTTTTGGTTTGCACTGATGTCTTATCAATGTTTCTATGTAAGTATTCCCTTTTTACTTCACTGGACTTCACTGGACCAGGCACAAATATATTATATATTTTTAAATTAAAACAAGAAAGAATTCTAAGATTGTAATATGGGTTTCTGGAAATTAAGGAACTATGTAATAATCTGATATTAATTGCAGAGCAAGATTTAGCCTCTACAAGGACTCTGTATAGGACAGATCTGATGCACACCTGTTTTTATAGCTCCTGCCATTTTGCCTGTTCCTCAGGCATCTGACAAAGGCATTCCAAAAGAAGTCTGTCCACTAGCTATCCAAAATGCCAACATTTTGATGTTGATGTTGGAGTTTCATGCACATTTTCAATTTGTATTCAGAATCAGTAACTTCTACTGAAGTGGTCTATAAAAAGCTTGCAAATGAAAACAAAAACAACAAAAACAACAACAACAACAAACCCTACCTGCTCTTTCCACTTCTTTAGTTCAGATATTCTCTTTGCTTTCATGTTTTCATATGCAGTGATGGCATTCCAGGGGATGGATTTGTCCTGGCCTATGGGAAACATCATCTGATAGTTCAGCATCTGATCCTGTGTCATTTCAGTGCTTTCTAAAGGTATATCCTCAGGTTCAATAGAGTCTGGAAATGAATGATATTTAAGTGAGATAAGGAAAAAGAAGGAGAATCAAAACCACCAACTAAAACATATAATGTCTAAGACAGATCCACTTCACTAGCTCTTGAAAGAAGCTAGTGTTTAATTTACATTAAACATTTTGTTGTAAATTCATATAAGGACACATGAGCTGTTCTATAAAAAGCTGGTTATTTTATAAATACTTGGAATCACACTAATACAAAAGATTAAGCTCCAGCTAGTCTGTTAGAAATTTAAAAAAATTATTGACCACAGTGGGTTGTAGTCACTTTGTTAAGCGAGTAAAGACTGCAGTGAAACTTGTAATGGATTTAGACTTTTAACAGCATGATGTGTTTCAGTTCTTATTTAGGAGATGAATTAGTCCAGACCTGATCCATAACATCTTGTACTTTGTTCTGTGGCTTGCCTCACAGAGGGCTAGAAATTCACAAGATATGGCAGAAGCTCATGGTGGCCTGCAGTGGAACAAATAGCTAGGGAGTGGAAGAAGCTGTTTGGATCTCCCTGAGCATGACCCACGTGCCCATGCCTAACTTAGTGTGTGAACTCTTCCACTAGAAGCAAAAGTTCCTTCTCTTAGCAGAAACTCATCATGGGATAAAAGTTTTACATGTGTAAATAACTTGCTGGGTCAAGGCTGTAAATAATTATCCAAAGGAAAAAAAAAAAAAAAAAAAAAAAAAAAAAAAAAAAAAAGGAAGAGAAAGATTGAGGAGGGAATGGAAAAAAAGAATAAAAACAAAGAGTGAATAAAAACAAATATAATAGCTTTTTAACTGATGGAGGTTTAAAAACTCAGTTTAGTCACTGTTCTCTCCACTCCCCACCTCCTCAAGTACAAGAGAAATTCAATTTACTACCACCAGTGACCATTGTTATTTTGAGTCAACCATGATTATTTCTGTAATGCCTACTGAGTTACCTTCATCACCACTGCATGAACATAGCAGCAATGATGGTGAGAATGTTAATAAACAGTAAAAATAATAATAAACACTGAAAAATAATAATAAACACTGAAAAAGTTTTGGGTCATTATCATTTGGCATAAGATGCTTGATACAGCTTTTTGCTCAAAGAAATTTGGTTAGCAATGCACTATTTAATATACTTTTCATTCTGAAAACGAACCCAAATGCAATGCCTGCTTAGGTCTTTTTATTCTCTCTCAAGACTTTTGGAGCTGGCCATCAACAATGTCTAGAAAACTTTTGTTGCACTCTAGTTGCTATTTACTATTAAAGCAGAACAGTCTCTAGAGTCCCAGAAACCTCACACTGATTAGCCTGCATCGTCCCATTGAAACACTTCATCTTCTTGCCTGTGGCATAAAAGCCTGCTTTGCCTGCCTCGCACTGATCTGAGCATGTTCTCCTTGAAAACGCTGCCTGCCTTTCCTGTTTCTCTAGCAAGTGTCTAACTTTGTCCACTTTTTTTTTTTTTTTTTTTTTTTTTTTTTTTTTTCTTCCCCCAGGCTTGTGACTTCCAGCACCTGCAGCCTTTCCCCCTGAGCACAAAGCACATCCCTCCTGGAAGGACCTCGTTCCCCCGGCCGGCCGGGGAGGAGCGGGGCCGCGACCGCGCCGTACCTGTCAGCTCTGCCGCGCGCATCCCTCCGGCCTCGCTGGCGGGCAGGCACGTCCCGTGCCCCTGGATGAGGGCGGAGAGGGGCCGGGGCTCTCCCGCAGGGACGTGACAGCGGAGCCCTTGGCGGCAGCGGGCCGTGTACACCCCGCACGGCTGGCCCGGCCCGAGGGCGCAGGTCTGGCAGCAGCCGCAGCCGGGCTGCCGAGCAGCCTCCGGGCAGCCGGGCGCGACGGGCGGGCAGAGGGCGAGCTTCTCCTGGGTGCACGGGGCGCAGTGCACGGGCTGCAGGGCCACTCCGGCGGCGAGGCGAGGGCCCAGGAGCGCCGGCAGCAGCAGGGACGGCAGCCAGCAGCGGTGCAGCAGAGCCCGCAGGCTGCTCATGTCGCTGCTGAGGAGGGACGGCAGAGAGGGCAGCTCGGCGGACTGGGGAGCAGCAGGCAGTTTACATACATTCAGCTCGGCCGAGCCATTTATACAATGCTTTGCCTGGCTATTAATCTTTAACCCCGAGTTAACTATTATCTGAACAAGAGAGCCAGAGAAACATAATTTCACTGGCGGTTCAAATCCCTGACCACTCTTCCCCTCCCCTTTCACTTTCCCCCTTTATCTTTTTTTCTTTCCTCCAGACATTCAGGAATGCTTTTATTCCCTCACCCCACCTCTGCCCTAGCATAGTTAACAGGAAAAAATGCGGTGGGGGTGGAGGGGAAACGGGCAGAGGGGAATGGATGAGTGGGGGGTATCCCCTCCCCTTTTGCCTGTCACAAATGTCTCTTGTTCTTGACATTTGATAACAATGTAAATGTTTAAAAAAGAGGAGGGGGAGAGAGGGGAGGAGGGAAATCCCATTGAAACTGAAGCAGCTGACTTCATATTTCCACAGCAACAAATGCAACAAACCCTTGTTGAATTTTCATCATGTGCCTGCAGGTTAGGAGGACACTGACATACCAAAGAGGGGGCCCCAAGGGTAATAAAGCCATTGGGATCCTGTAACCACTGTACACATGGACACGGGAGTCCTTGCATTAACCTGCCAGAGGGGCTGCACAGCTGAAACTAAAGGGGTCTTCTGCCTCTGCTGCTGCTGGGACGAGGAGTATCAGTCCTCAGAACATGCACTTGGGGTAAAATAATGTTGGTCAAACAAACCAGAGAGAAATGAAATAATTCTGCTTTTCTCTCTGTCCTGTTACCCTCTTCATCCACTCATATTTCACTTTTTCTTTTTTTCTTTTTTTTTCTTTTTTTCTCCTTTGCATGCAGTGGTTGTCACTATAATAAAAGCAAAAGCATTCAAACTTCACTGTGCTGAGCAGATAATTTTATCCTGGTATTTGCAGTATGTACTGAGCTTGAAATAGCAAATTCCACTGTCAAGTAATCTAAAGTAACATGATTTTTGTTTATTTGTTTTTGTTTTGTTTTTCATTTAGTTCTTAGTTCTCTGCTGCAAATGTGTCATTCACGTGAAAGAAACTGAAGCAGAACTGCGGAGCATTCTTTAATATTTTATTTTTCACTTCTGTTTCTCTGGTACTGATGCCAAAGATTTTTATTTATAATGTAGTTTTTATTGCCTTTTTAACTCCTTGTATTCTTAAGTCAGATCTTGAAGTATTCTTATTAGTTATAGATTTTTACTACTTGAAGAGATTTTTTTCACCTTACTACTTCATCTAACAGTTTTATTTTTCCAATTTTCAGCCATTTAATGGAATGTAAAAAAAAAAAAAAAAAATCATCTTCAAAAGTTCAGGATATTCAGCTGAATATGCAAAAGGTAGCAGCCCTTCAAACTCACTTTCATTTTTAAGGATACTGAACAATTTTTTTTTAAAAGATAATTCTGTAGAATTCATATGTCTATGACTGGGAGAAGATTCTGGCTGAAAAACTGTGGTATGACAATTTCTGCACAAAAATACAGCAATTAGACTTTTCAAGCTGTAATGTTTATTTTCCCCTTTCATTTATATTTTCTTCATGTTCATCTGCCTTGGGAAATGATGATCCACCTTTCACTCAATGTGAAGTGAAGAATATGTAAAAGTATACCTTCTTCCCTCCTTTCCTCTTTTCTGTAAAAGAAAACAATGCAAAACAAAATGTTTTGTGAAGAAACATGAAGAAAAAAATATAAATGATCAAGTAGACCCAATTGTAAAATGACAAAGACCCAAAGATCTCACATGCATTTGTGTATGTGCATGTATATATTCATTCACTTACCTATCTCTAGATAGCTAGAGTCTCTGCTGTCTGAATTGAGTATCATAATTCTACTGACTGCCTATCATAAGCTTCTTGCCTAAGAAAGGACTGTAGTCCAGAGTGACTGCTATGGTCTTGACTGCAGTTTTTCTTCCTTTGCTTTAAAAAAGGGAACATGAACTGAGAAGAAATTGCTTTTAATAATACATTTGAAACACATCTGTAAAAAGTTTTTTAACTCATCACCATCATTTTTAACATGACTGGATAAAGAGAAACTTAGTGCAAGACTGGAGTCCTTATCTGATGTGCAGGCCTATGTCACAAAACTTCCATTAGTTTGAATGAAAGGTCCTCCAAACCATAATCCTGTTTCCAGGTCTTTGGCATGCTTGTCATTGCTGGGGGGGCAGCTGGCAATATCTGAACTGCCCAGGCAATTCCTAACAACTGGCAGCCTTCTAGAAGACAGATTTTCTCCAACTTACCCTGTAATGATAAACACCCCCCCATGAACCCACTCCAATTACAAGATATTTTAAAATTGTGTTTATTTTGCTTCCTTTATGTATGATTGCAGGTCAACTCTAAATGATGGGTTAACTTTTTTTTTTTTTTTTTTTTTTTTTTTTAATTTGCTGTCCTTTGTACAATCAAAGTGAGGAAACCTCATTTTCATAAAGCAAAATTTGTAAGCAATTGCCTACCTGCACTGAAGATAGACACTTAAGATCTATCCCTTCATCTTTCATTTATAGGTATGTAAAGAATATACTTTAGAACAGGTAATAATAACATAGGACAGTATCAATCAACAAAGCAGTGTATTTGTATAGGTTGTAAGACATCAATGAAATGAAAGTAGTGTATATGTTTATGTAGACTCTGTCTGATATAATACTACAACTCACCTACCAATCTTCATCTCTGACCCTAACATTGCCTTAAAGAACACAAACAGATAAGAGTCAGGAGGTTAAAAACATCCATAATGTAAAGCTATGTTTACTGAAGACTTTTTGTGGTAATCTTTAGATGTTCCAACTGGCGTCCCCTAATTTGAATCACTAATGAAGAGACACTACATGAATCCTAAACAAGGGTTACTTTTCTACAAGACTTTTCCCATTGATTTCTCAAAAATTCTTAACCAATGACCTCATATTTCATGTTATTTTTTTCTTTAAAGCTGCATGAAATGACTCATAAAACTTAGTTTTATATGTTTAAGTACAAGTGATCTTTATCCTCTAATCACCAAAAATTCAACTGGCTTGCCAAATAATTTCCTAATGGGACTGCTTCACTGGTTTAAAATACCCCAAACAAACAATGGAATATCCTTATAATTTTACCTTTGATAAGAAACTGATCCTAAATTGTAAGTTTAATATCTAAAATTACTACGTGTTGTACGTACATACAAGTACACACATATATATATATGGCATCTAGCATATGAAGAGAAACAGCTATAGATACATGAAAAACCCACTTTCTTCTTTCTCATTTGTCCCATCAAAGATACTACATGGCAGCTCTATGGATTATTAGGATTTTATTTATTTTATCCAAGTAATTCATAGTTCTGAAGTTACTGCTGAATAATTTGAGTGTTTATTGATTGAATTTTTCATAATTTTCACTTTGCAACAATGACATATATGTCTTTTGGTATTATTTTTCTATTCTGGTTGGATAAGCACAACTTTTAGATTCTGGATGCAGATAAGGACATGTTACACATTTGTTTTGCACTGATATTCTCTAACTTTTGCAGACTGACTTTTGGCATTTTTTCCCAGCATTTTTTTTGGGGGGGAGGGGTTATAAAAATATTTTAGAAATAACTAGGTGATTTTGGTGCAGAAGCTCCAGTGAGAAAAGTGAGGTATGTCTCATGGTAAGTCTAGCTAAGGAAGCCTCTCTGTGTCAAACCATGGGTAATCTAGTTAAAAGGGGGGAGAAGAGGAGGAGTCATTCATTTCTGTGGTGGTGCCTGAGGCATTTGTGCATTGAATAAAACGTCTTTTTTCCAAAGTTGTGTGTCCACAGACCAATTAGATAATTATTTTCAAAAATAGTGATCTCTGCTGGCAAGAAAGGATAAAAAGCAGTCTAACCATGCCATAGGCCAGCTGCTCCATGCAATGATGGTACAAGCGAGAGTTTGTCCTGCCAGAGAAATAATCCAGACATGAGGTAAAGCTAAAGGAACTCCAGAGAGCATGAATTCCTGTGTGGAGAGTTAATATAAAAAAGCTGTGGATTCACCTCATTTACTATTGTCAGCATTACTAAACCCAGGTAGGGATATTCCCTGGGGCAACCCATGGAAATGAAGGTTCTCCAGTGCCTACCAGGTTGGGCTGTAGCTTAGTAGGGACTTTGAAAAATTTTACTGATCCCTTTAGTGTTTCCTTCAGGAACATAAACTAGCATCAGCTGTTTAAATCTCTGTATGTTTCTGGCCACTGTCTCTCAGCCACGGACCTGAGAAGAGAAAAAAGCACTATCAAAGAAGTAATGTGTCCTTTACCATGGTTCCTGAGTGCTATAGGCACTTAAGACATGAGTCTCCAGACTTCACCACTGCTGGGTTAACTTCCGAAGTGTTTGCTATCTTATGCTGATAAAAGAAAAGGTAAATTCTCCAAAGATTTTCTTTAAGAGCAATGTAATTGGATCTTTCAGATACATGTTTGAGCATCTCATTTAAAGGGCAATTTGAGACAGTCATAGAGAGCTACAGCTTCCTTTAATGCCTGGGTCCATCACATAGGCGAAATGCCATAATCTACATGAATCCACCTTTTCTCCCCAAATTAATACTTGTCTTTCCAGGAACAAAGCTTTCCATATGAAGTAGAGAGGGAACTAGGCAGCATTGGCAAAAACAAAGTGAGATCCAGACCCAGATGGAGAAAAGTGGCTGTGGAAAAACAGCCAATAATAATTAATTTATACTGGTTTATACATAATCAGTTACAGTGCTGGATGTCCCTTTTCACACTAAAGATGCTGTGTTTTTAAAGAATTATACTGCTAACCCAAAATTCAGTGCCATGGGTGCCACTGAAGTTTAGGATAGGTTCAAATTCCTGATCTTTTCTTCTGATGTGCAGGAGGCTTTTCTCCTCCATGACAATCTTTGCCTGTTAGTGGTAGAAACTAAAGGTACTGTTCTTTCCTCTTTTTATCTTTTCTATAATGTTAATAAAAGTAGAACTAAATCACAAGACCCAGACCACAGGAAGCCAAGAGGTCCATTTTTCCGGGTATCCTGTGAAGTGGAAAACCAAAACTTAGGTACAAACATGCCTGAACTATGCCTACTACAGGAGGAGGGGCTAAGCTGCAGACTGCAGCCTGAAAGTCTCAGCAAGAGCGTAAGAGAGCTGCTCCATACACCAAAATGATAATCTGTTAAAACAGGAGATTGTATTTCCC